AAACTGCCTCTCCTGAAGCATAGAATTCAGAAGGTCTCATTTCTAGTGCCTCTCAAATACAGGGCTGGAGTTGTCAGCTGAAATGCAATAAAATAAAGCGTACTGAGCTCAGCTAAAGCATACAGTAAATGCAGGTGAACCTTGTGGCACTTCACCCTCTGATAACCATTGGAGGGAAAGGAAAGGCTTCCATTATTTTAATTGAGCCTGTCTCTTTGCTTGGAAGCTTGCATTTCTGAAACTCACTCTTAAATACAGAAACCCTCTAGAAATGAAATGTGTGCTTTTGCGTTGAAGAGAGACGCTTGGGTTCTGCAGACGAAGCCGGAGGGGTGTTATTAGCTCTCTCCTGATTTACACGTGTGCCGAAACTTCTTTTTTCCTGTAACTGAACTGCTGTGAGAAGGGTCACAAAGGTGTTGCAACAGGAAGCCTCTGTGTGCCTGTGCATGCTAATGTGTGTGTGCATAACCCCCCTTGCGCGCCTGTGTCCGCTTTCCTGTGTGTTTGTGGTATTCTTCTTTCCCAGCATCTTCCCCAAAATGTGCCTGTCCAAATGCTGCAACACCAGGCCAAGAAGTCTCATCCTGTTCTATATGTCATGACAAAAAAAACCCTCTGTGCTGCAGAGAGAAAGGAATTGGCCGTTACTTGGGTCAGCTTCGTCCTGTTCTTTCCCCTCTTCTTTTTGTGCATTCCCCCATCAACACGTCCCACCCCTCCCCACCAGCTGCTGTCCTACCCTAAACATGTTGTGTTGGCACTTTGGCCCTTGATTCAGGGCTGGGTAGAAAAGGTCCAGGGGCTTGGAAAGGCCAAGCAGATCCTCCTCTGCTCGCACCTCGGTGGGGGGGACGACGAAGAGAGACGTCCCAGTGTCACTGAAAGCAAAATCTCTGCTGAGACTTTCCGCCGCATGAGACCACCCAGTGCAGAGCTGTTCCCATGGGTGCAAGGAGCCGTGCAAGGGCTCTTGTAGGCATCCCAAAGCTGCTGTGGGCTCCCCAGTGAACACCTCCTCCTGATGGCAGACCGGGAGCCCGGGGCTCCCTGGGGACATCCCAAGCCTCACCCCTCTCTCGCATCCCCCAGGTTGCCACGACAAGGCGGTGCTGCTCTATGAATACGTGGGGAAGCGGATCGTGGACTTGCAGCACACGGAAGTACCGGATGCCTATCGAGGGAGAGGAATAGCCAAGCACCTCGCCAAGGTAGGGCCCCAGCCACCCCTCCTCCCCTGGGCAGAAGCTGTCGCTGTCCCAGCTGTGTCTAGAGACCCCGGCTGAAGCAAGGCCCCATAGTGTCGGCATTGCACGTGTGTCCCATGGGAACCATCCCTGCTCCGGTGAGAGATGGGGGCGGCTGGCAGGACAGATGGAAATCCATGGACAGAGATATTCCTATTTCTGGCGGCGAGAGGAGCTGGGTGAGTGCCAGCACGCCCAGCTGCTCGCCCAGGCTCGGCCCTTTCTTCCTCGCAGCAAACAGCCCTTGCACGCACCTTGCAGGGGCTGATGCAGCACCTCTCCTGGGGGTTGGACCCCCTCATCTCCAAGCTTCAAGGCCCTCATGAGCCCTTTTCCTGCCTTGGCCCCTGCTTTTGAGGCCTGTAGCCATGCAGGGAAAGCTTGAGGAGCCACGAGCACAGTGTGTGTGTGGGGGGGGGGGGGACTGCGGGGTGATGCTTTGGGGTTACGGCTGCTCCCTAGCCCTGTAAGCAAAATGGGTGACAAAGGTGGCCTTCATGTGTTGTGGCTGGGGGACCCATGATGCAGCATCCACCAGACTGGATGCATTCAGGGGTACCCTGGGGGTCCCTGCACAGCTCTGGTTGAACTGGGGACCTTGTGGCAGCTATGGCAGGACAGCCGTGCTCTCCCCCCAGCCCTCTCCCCACAGCTGCCCCACAAAGGGAGTATGTGAGGACAACCTGCCATTTCCCCCAGCTGCATGTGGGGTATCCACAGGATACAGGAATACAGGATACAGGAATCCAGACCCCTGGGACTTTTTGGAGGAGAGCACAGGCTGGGGGTGCTGGTTGTAACCTATCCATCCTCTCTGGTTGGTTGCAGGCAGCCCTGGACTTTGTGGTGGAGGAGGACCTGAAAGCTCACCTGACGTGCTGGTACATTCAGAAATACGTCAAGGAGAACCCGCTGCCGCAGTACCTGGAACACTTGCAGCCTTAAGGCAGGACAGCTCTGACACCAGCGCGCCTGTCCCTGACTGTTCAATGCGGCCTTTGCTTCTCTGCGGTCTCAGGAAACCCCGCTCCCACACTCACAATTCTCACTTTTTTTAAGCACATCCATGTGGTGCATGAGTGTGGGCACGGCCTCCTCCTCTCTGCCCACGTGTGAGCATGGCTACAGCCCCTGGACCAGGCTGGCTCTGGGCACGCGTGGTGCCTCCCAGTGCTGCTCTTCCCAAGCCAGGGGGTGGAAGAGGATGATTTTTCCACCGAACTCCATCACAAAACCAAGGGATGACTTGCTCTGCGCCTCATCCTCTCCCCTGCGCTTGGTGACAGCTGTGAACTGGCTCGGGGATGTTGGTTAGGGGTGGTTGTGGGGTACCAGTCTCCCTTTTCTCCCGGCAACTGGGGGAGATGCTGTGGATTAAGCCTTGTGGGACAGAAGGCGGTGCTGGAGGAGGCCCAGCCCCATGACAGGTTCATCCCCTGCAGCATCTGCTGGGCACTGAGCCTTGCCCAAGCCCACGTGGGATAGAGATGAGAACGTGTGGGCCATGGTGGTGCCTCAGGGGCTTTGCTGCGCTGGCTGTGGAGACACTGGGATGGTGACACCTTCGAGCCTAGAGGCAGGAGCCGTGTTGAGCAGTGGGCTTTGGCTACAGGGGCTGCAGCAGAGCATATGCTGTGTGAGCGTGTGGAGGAAGAAAGGCAGCTGAGTTGCAGATGCTGCTCCCTGGAGATGCCAGCTCCTGCCCAGCCATCTGTACATAGCCCCGGCGTGGCATCCCTGCAGGATCACAGGCCATCGTTGCTGTCTCTGCTTCCTGCTATCGGTGTTGTCCGTGCTGGTGTGGACATGGCCAGCTCAGAAGAGCACTAGCCCCAACAGCCAGCCCTGGCCTAAGCAACGAGGGGACGTCTCATGCTTTTGCAGGCACCAGGGTGGTTTCTTGCAGCTGAAGAGGAAGGCTCCCCCATCTCCCTTGACTCCAGCTCTGCACCCCTGTCTGTGCCCCAGATCATAAGGCCTGAGCTGTCATCACATCCTGAGAGCACTGGGGGTAAGGCCTTTGGGTCCTGGTCCTGGCCCATCTCCAGGGCTCACCTGGATGCCAATTGCTTCTTCTTACGGCCTTTGGAAAGAAGTCCTGGCTCAGGGCATTACCTGTCAGCTCACTGGACTCCTCGCAGCTCCAAGCCCAGGGTGCTGGCCGCATCGTAGGGTCCTCAGCCAGCAGCAGGAACACCCTCGCATCCTGCTGTTAACTCTGCGGATGATAACCTCGTAGCACAGCTCCGCACTGCCACAGTTGGATGTAGAGGTAACACTGTGATGGCAGGGCATTGCCTGGCTCCCGCTTGCTGCAATTCCTGCCTTGCCCAGGCTTTCCAGGGCCTGAGTGAGATCCCAGAGCATCTCCCCCAAGCTCTTGAGATTTCGTGGTGTCCCAGGGCTGGGCTGCAGCGGGGGAGACAGTGCTGCTGGCACGCCAGCCCTGAGCAGCTGCTGGGGGCTGCAGCCAGGCAGAACGAGCTAAAGAGCCTTTCACCTGGAGGCTAAATCTGGATCTAGCTTCTCTCTCAGCAGGGACTAAAGTTTACAATCTATGCCACGGACCGAATGAAGCCCCGGCCAAGAGGCAGCTCAGCCCTCTCCCAGAACCCAGCACGAAGTCCATGGAGGCAAAGGCAAAAGCTCCTACAACCTTCTGTCCTGGTTGGGTTGGTGAGAGATGGAGACCCTGTGCCTGATCTCAGCCAGGGAGGCCCTGAGCTATTCCTCCCGGCCACTGGCTCGAGGCAAAGCCCTGCTGCTTGCCTGTGATTGTGGGCCTCCCACCGCCAACATAACGCAGCCCTCTGCCCACAGGCTTGAGTAAAACCTCCCAAACTCCATCCATCCCCTGCCACGCTACAGGCTGTGAGACGCCTGCCCGTGTCCACCACCTGCCTGGGGAGGGACCTGTGCCCGGCGGCAGACCCACCTCCAGCTCGTGCTGCTCAGGAAAGGCATCGGGCTCAGCCCTGCCGCTGCCTCGTGCTTCTGCCCTCTTGCTGCCTGTTTCAGTCTGGCTGCAACCTTCAGGATGGTTTAGAGGGACTGGGAAAGGGTCGCAGGTAACCAGCTAAAGAAAAGGAACTCTAGAAGAAATCTGGGCTGCTAAATGTTCACTGTAACATGCAAAACACACTTCAACATCTAGTCACAGGAGCAAGTCTGGCTCTGTTATAGCCAAGGGATGACAGAACCATCCCTGCTTTTGATCCCAAGGTGAAGCTGAACCATTTCCTCTCCTGCAAGCCAAGATAAGACACCATCGTATCTTTCTCACAGTGGGGCTGGGTGCTTGGAAGAGATGTGTGCCTGGTTGCCTCGTGGGAGCAACAGCATGAGCGCAGTGCTGCAAGCCTGTGCCTGGTTTTGTGCTCCTTTCCACTGTGACAGTTCCTAGAAGTACCCCGTTGTGTCTGCCACGTGAGAGCGGCTCGTTGTGGGGTGTGCTGTGGTC